CAGGGGCTCGGCACGCAGCCAGGTACAGTATCACACCTTCTCCCCCTCCAGCTCCGACTCCTGCAGCTGCGAGTGTGCGCTGAGTGCCTGCCGGTGCCGGTGCCGCCGCCCTGCGGTGTGCCAGCAGCCTCTTCCGTGGCGGAGCGGTCATTGAGAAGGCTCCGGCTGGCAGGTCAGCCAGGCAGCACACGCTCCAGCGCTGGCTGCACCGTCCTCCCTGCAGACCTGGTGTCCATGGTCCTCCCCCTGCTCCTGCCCCCCCCAGCTGGGACCCAGACCCTTTTGGGGCAGCCTGCACCTTTTGGACCTGCACACGTGAAGGTGGGTCTTCACTTGGCAGCAAGTCTGTGCCTGCATTTCATTGTATGAAAAAAGGCTCAGTAACAGGCAACAGAAGCAGCAGTGTTAGTGTGATGCTTAGCAGGGAGGGAAATGTCTAGGGAAAAGAGATGAAACCAGAAGCTCTATCAGCTACATGGACCGGTAATGAGATAGCGGGTTTATCCTCCCATAGGAAGGTACCTTCCACACTTCATGGGGAAGGTCCAATAAGACAAAATCCTGAAGAGTGTGAAATTGGTAGTTTGCCATGAAAATAGTGTTTGATGCACATTTTGTCTGCAAAATATTAATCTGCAGGCAGCATTGGCCAGTTACAGAAGAATATGCCTTTCGTAGGTAAGAAATAAACATCAGGGAGCACATTCAGAGGAGCTCTGCTGCTGGAGCAGGTGAAGAACCTTGCCGGATTTATCCCTGAGCAGCTAGCTCTGCTCTCTGATTTGCCAGAAACTGGATTACGTTTTCCTTCTTGCAAACCCAAGGCTAGGGTTAATCTGGGCTTCGGCTGTGACTAATCCCACTTGGCCAAATCCTGCCAGCTCGCCAAGGCTGCGCAAGGCTGCGGAGCAAACTGTGCGCCAGGCAGTGATTGTGCGGAGCTGGGGCGGGTGGGCTGGCGGGAGCAGGGCTACACCTGGGCGGCCGCGCTGGCCTGGTGCTGCCACTGCTGCTCGGCTCACGCCAGAAGGGGCAGAGGTTGTCCGGCTGTAAATGCAAAAGGAGAGAGGAAAGCTCTGCCCTGTCTGCTGGTTTACAGCATCGTGGTTAAACGCGAGCGCTGCCGTACACGCTAAGCGGGCCGCGGTGGGAGCTGCTTTGCAGTTGCCATTACAGCCGTGGCGCTGCGGGGCTGACCTGCTGCCGGTCCTGCTGCATGTAGCAGGTAATTGCAGAGCTTCGACTGCGGTTGGTGCTTAGGCTTGGTAACCCTTGACGAGGTGGGGACCGGATAGACAACTAAATTGTTTATTTATTGATTTTTTCTTTTAATGGCTATTACTCTCGGTCAGATTTGTATCTCAGTGTAAGTCCAGTGCGGCTCCATTTTGCTAAGAGGATTTCCCTGGAGTGGAGGTAACTGAAAGCAAAGCCGCCTCCTCCATTACACAGAAGTGGGTGTGTGGTCCCAATACTGACCAGTCTGTGGTCGCCCTCTCCCCTGTCTGCCCGTGGCCAGGAGACTGTGCAGGGGTGGGTGCAGGACCTGCACCAGGGCGATGCCGGGGCACAGCAGCAGCTTTCTGGGGCAGAGGCGGTATCGCTGCTCTGCTTGTCTGCACTGGGCTTTCCCTTCATGAGCCAGCCCCGACAAATTCACACCCTTTAGGGATTTTTGGCCTCCAGTGTGTCCTGTGAGAAGGATTCCCATCAGCGCTTTCGCCTTGTGTGTAGGTGGTTGAATCCCATCTCACTGCAGGGCTGTGCTGGAGGTTTCGTGTCACCGGTCTGACCCCAGTGATGGGCAGCTCAAACCCGGCACATGTTGGACTTGTGCTTGTGAGAGGTTATGTGACCACGTCATCCTGGAGGCCTCAGGCTTTTTGCCCTGTATGTTGACTTGTGTTTTGAAAACACTGCGTGCCATATAGCACCTCTGGGTAGAGGACAAGGTTTTCCTGAGAAACACTGAATCTTTGCATCTCTTCAGGCCGCATCCATCACAGCGCCATGAATGACGAGGAGAAGCTCTGCCACACGAAGCTTCTCCCCCGGGAGCAGGGAGCATTTGGTGACAGTCAACATGACAGACAATGAAAGGGGGAAACCTGATGGGAACAGGGGACAAAGTAGTGAAGCGGCAGCAATTACTGACATCGCGTTACTTGTGCCGTGGTCCCTTGCTCGGCGGCTGGAGGTGGCAGGAGGAAATGCAGCACTGGCGGTGGGAAGGGGCCAGGGGCCACTGGCTCCCTCCACCCCCCAACCACAGAGAAAATGAATTTTACAGCTCAAGGGAGGCTTAGTGCCTCATTAACTCAGGAAAGGGGAAGCCTTCGCCAAACAAGGAGAGAGGAATCGAGTGTCATGCGCGCTTTGAATGAGTGGGACTGGCTCTTTTGCAGGGGGTGCCTGCTAAAGGCAGAAAGAAAAATTAAGACATATTTTGTTTTAAATGAAAAATGACTGGCATTCCCCCCCCTTCCTGAAAACAGAAAGTAATTTAATTTATTAGTGGTTTATTTTATTTGACAGCCTTTCTGTGTACTTGATGTGGTTTGTTACACTGAATTACCCTTTAATAATGGCTATATATAATACCAGAGCCTGCCCTGCAGGTTGGCTTTGTAATTGAAGGAGGGATGCACTGAGGAAGTCTCTGTGCTGTTGAGGATTGCCATGGCAATGCTGGTGGGAGCTGGGTGGTTTAGGCAGACTCTGAATTGGACTCTGCGTGCTTCAAAAAAAAAAAAGGCCAAATTTCAGTTGCTGTCACGTTGCCCCATTTATTGGGCACTTTCTCTTCATCGTCACTGTCTGCTGCTGCCCTGAGCCGCTCCCTGCCTGCCCAGCTGGGCTCCGGATGGCGTGGCTGTGGCACCCGGAACAGTTTGCGGGGTCTTCCTTTCTTTTCCTTTATCGTACGCTAAGCAGAAATGTAACGCGGGTGTCTGTCAGCCACTGGCACAGGTCCCCGAGGCGCTGGGAGTTACATTGCTGGAGACCAGGCAGCGCACTAGGAAAGACGCAGCCAAGAACAGTCCCGTGGTAGCGAGCGGGATGAGTGGGGAGAAGGAGACAGAAGGCTCTTCTCTGCCTGTGATTCGTGTCTCAGCAAGGGCGCGCGTCAGTGCCAGCACCGGGGTCGAGCCGTCGGCACGGACTCGCGTCAGCCTCCCCTGTGGTGGCTGTGTTTCCAGCCAGCTTCAGGGCAGACTTAAGTGGAGAAGAGATTAAACCCAGGCCAGGGCTCAGCCTGCACTGGGCAGCTGCTCCCCTTGGCCGTCCTGAGATGGGGTTTGCCTTCTGCTGCAAAATTTCTGCTGTTGTGGGACGAGATTCCCAACCGGTGTGTGCTCCCAGCACATTCCTGGCTGCTCCTGCCTCAAAGTGGCAGCGCTTTCAGATTTAGATACTTATTGTTGATACCCTTAAGCAAAAGCTCGCAGCACATGGTGAGAAGGGGCATGGACACTTGCTGTTTTCCATATTCCAGTGCAGATCCTTGCCACTGTAGCAGATAAAAGTCCTGCCGTAACAAAATACTCACTGGTGACCAGGTTTGTTCCTCTCATGGGGTTTTACCTGGTGACAGACTAAGTTCCAGACATAGAAAACTCCCTAGAATTTGGCTCTGAAGTAATGTGTGGAGAATTTCCTTGGCTGAAAAGTTTATCTTAGCTCTGTGATGGTGAGTTGCTGCCATGTAAGAATCGGGTAGAGAATTGTGCTGGGGCGCTGGAAGTTGCAGATGGCCACGCTGCTCTGGCTCAGACCCGGATTGCCCTGGTTGCTTTGCAGTGCAGTGTGCGCTGCTGGGCTCCTGCCGGGGACGGCGACTGGCCTGGGGCTTGACCGCGAGGTGTGGTTGGGCTGCACAGCATCATCTCGCTAAATGAAATCCTCTGCCAAAGCTTTTGCGGTACTTATTTTTGTGCCCGGCGAGGCGTGGTGTAACCATTGAACCCTCTCCCTTTGCGCAACCGTCATGTTTCCGACGGTCTGAATGACAGGCGGTTCCTGTAATCCCTGAGCAAAACGCGAGCTTCCATCCCCAGATGGCTGAGCAGAGTCCTTCAGCGGCAAACGATGCATCATTGACTGTGTCAGACTGAATTAGCAGGCAGGCTCGTCACATTAAGCTCAGGCTCTGAGCTGGCAGTCCCTGTGCTCTAGTGTCACTCGAGCTGGCTGTCACACTCCCGTCCCCACCTCTGCAGCCATGGGAAATCTGTTTGGGCAGCACACAGATAATATATACAGTAATGAAGTAGCTTGAGGGAATAGCTTACTGGCAAACGGGAGCACAGACTGACACCTTTCTAGTGTATTAAGTTGCCTTAAGAGCATTATGCCTGAAGTTATTACTTACACCGCTCCTTGCATACACTGTTCTTACTGCATCTCTCCATCCCCCGATGTTTACGTGAGTTATGCTTATTAATCTAAAGGCAAACATGTAGCTCTGTTTCTAGTCCCTCCATCTGTCCCTGCCCTGTGCGTTCCCTTTCCCTGTCTCTTCTCATCTCTTACCTCCCTCACTTCACTGTGAAGCAAATGCAAAAAACTTAAAAGAAAAATCTGTGCTGACCTGGCTCTCTCAAGAAATATATTTCTGTTAGAAATGCTCCAGCAATTTCAGATTCCGGTTAACAGTGACAAAACAAGGCAGAAGTGTTTTGTTTTTTAAAAAAAAAGAAAGAGTGCTTGCTGCAGCGGAGATCCCAGCCTGGTTTACTGGGCTCTCGCTGCCTCACTGCAATCTAACTGTACTGGTGCCTCTTTCAAAAGTAAAAGGCTTTCGTGTCTGCTTGCCCTTCTGTTCATACGCTTGGAAAGGCGTTAGGTTTCCTTGGTGAGAGCGTGGAGGGTGGGATGGAGCGCAGCCAGTCGGAGCTGTGTGGGCACCCGCCGTAGCCATGGGGGTGTTCCCCCCATGCCGGGTGCTGGCATGGGTCGGGTGGGACAGCCGGACCCTGTCCCTGTGTGCTGACGCTCTGCTTCCTGTCCCGCAGGTACCCGTGCTCCGGCCCATGGACCTGATGGTGGAGGCCACTCCCCGGAGGGTGTTTGCCAACGCGCATACCTACCACATCAACTCCATCTCTGTCAACAGCGACTACGAGACTTACATGTCGGCGGACGACCTGAGGATAAACCTGTGGAACTTTGAAATCACAAATCAAAGTTTTAGTATCCTTTGGTGCGTGCCGCCCCGCGGCCCCTGGGACAGTCCCAGCCCAGCCAAGAGCAGGAATAAGGGAGGTGCCTTGGCTGGCAAGTGGGGTGTAAAAGCCCTGGGAGCCCAGACACGTGCAAATGTCAGTGGGAGAATGAGAAAGCTGGATGGGGAGACAGGTCCCCAGTGAAGGTGAGTGGCAGAGGGGGGGACATGAGCGGGAGAGGGGGGACCTGTGAGGTCTGGCTCCGTGGGAAGCAGCAGAGCTGTGCCTGTGACCAAGCAGATAGCACAGCATCTCACCTGGCCCCGTCCCCCGCACCCCAATCACAGCTCCTCGGTACAGGAGCTTCACCCTCTGGCAAGGGCTCGCAGGGGCTCAGGATTACAAAATAATGCTGTTGGCCATGCATCTAGCTACAGAACACCTGAAATCCCATCCCCAGGTGTCATTACCAAGGCACTTCCCTCTCATCTCTGCCCGTGCTGCCGGGCTGAACCATGCCACCAGCGGGACACCGGGCTGTCTCCAGCGGGCACATTTGTCCGTCACACCGAACCGCTCCCTCCATGGCACAGTGCTCAGCTGGCGTCGTCGCGACTGCTGCCTCTCGGTGTGGGTGACACATTTT